TGCGAAGGTGAAGAATTCGGAATAGTCATTTTGAATGAAGAAGGCGTCGGGGTCAGCACACGCGATGAGTGTGTGCATCGGGTATCCTGTCAGGCTGATAGAGGTTGCCGATTTAGCTTCGACGTTGGTGCCAAAATGTCGACTCCCACGCATGGAGACATGTGACGGAGTGTGCAGAATACAAACAACATCGTACATTTGGTGATTCACTATCACTTGACTTTTCCAATTCTCATTTATAATCGCAGCAAGCTTGGCGGATGCGACAAATTTCATTGTTCTTTCAGGTCATTAATAAATAACACTGGAAACATGTTTGTTCGTGCTGACAAAATAACAAGTGCATTCAAAATGTGCGCAGATTAATAGGAAATTTCGGACATGCAGCTTTTCCTGCTTTCAGCACAAACACTCTCTTTAGATGCCACAATTTCCTTTCCAAAGCAACTATTTCTACCTTGTGAAATGCCAGTAATGCGTCTGTTTATTTAATCAGTCATTCATTATGTTTTAATACAGCACACAGAATATCTCGCCACCTTCCTGATACACTTTTATCTTCTACTGTCACAAAGAATTCGGGCATGATGGATGCAATGTAACACAGATAATTTTTAAGCATGACCATCCCTATTGAGGCGCACATTGATAAAACCTGTGGTTTGTGTTACCAAAGGTGGAATAAGTGTAATTTCTGAGGTGCATTCAATACTTTTCCTCGTCCTCTACTTCCTCTCTCGTGCTCGAGTGTGAAGAATTTGTATTTATCGCACTCTCGCACATGGTGCATAGCGAGTTAAGTATCTTGCGATCCAATCAAACAAGTGTTAAATTAATGGTAACCGCAACTTACATCTAATCAACTGTCACCACTACTCGTGATTAAACAGCAGGAACTACTAAATCACGATCCCTGGATGAATACCGAAATGTGGTCTCTAAATACGACCACTTGATTTCCGTTTGCATTAAATCCTGCAAAATTTCAACAAGTGCACCTTAGTCCTCTTGGATGAATTTAAGCAAAAACAAATCGCATCTCGTTTAAATCATATTTTTGTTCCTAGTTCACAGAATATGGACGGATGCAGTATTTTACTGACATTGCACAAGCTCTCCCCTCCTACTTTCTTGCTTTAAAACAAACCATACATCACTAGTACAGATTGGCAACAGCGATTTCTTAATAAATCGTTAATCACCCGACCCTACTGTGTTATTCACTTTACCATGCAGCAATCATGTGGTACAAGAGCAAAATTCAGAAGGAAGTATGAACTCAATGGATCGAGCAAATGATTTAGTCAATTTGGCTATCGGTCTGTCAGCTGGTCAGGCAGCCAATTTATTAGTCAAAGAAATAGTCACTCAGCCGAGAAATTGGTCAGATTTGTATTAGGACTGGCAGTAGAAATCAGCAACGAGGAAGTGTAGACCCCTCCATATCGAAACGGTCCACTGGAACTGAAGGAGAGAAAGCAGAGCTGGATAACTCGAGTTTATTAAGGTGAATAAATTATTGATAAACAAATGCAGTAAAATGGAAGAAAAAAAATACAAACGCAGCAAAGGACGTAAGACAGTTAAGGGTTGAAGGTTAGCGGCTAAGAGGAGAAATGTTCAGTGACTGAGCTTTGCGTTGAGGGGTTAATACCCGTCCCCAATCATCCACCTACCTTTAATTATCCCAATGCACCTATCCGTGTATGCGCCATCCAACCGTCTATTCACTTACCTGTCTATGCATCTGCATGACAATGTTGTAGGCATCAAATTGCTACTTTCATCTATTCTTTCATTCATTTATACGTTCATTCCCCTCATTCGTCTTAGTACCACCCAGCTGCTTCACGACATTCACAGAGCTAGCAATCATTTATTGGAGCCAATTTAATGAGCACTCTCTCTCCTACATAGCTCTCTTAAAACGACACGCGAAGTATCCAGGCATCCACGAAGGAACCAACGTTTAAGAAGAGATTGAATGACGCAAAAACTGTTACAGTTTACAGTAAAAATGGCGTCATAGAAAAAAATTGGAACCCTGAACACAAATGAAGGCATAAGTTTAAAGGAGAGACGAGTTACTTCTCCAACACAAAGTGCAGTTTTTTGGAATCTTTTTGCGTGCAGGTCAAAACTCAGTTATTTTGAAATTACTACTTCAGGATCCATTGCAATTACAAACAAACAAATCAAAATGCCATAAT